CAGAGAAATTAATCATTGCTTTGCGTTATATATATACAGTATATAATAAATATATGCATGTAACGGTGTTAAATATACTATGAATTTTTTCGCCGGCAGTTACAAAATGCTCAAATTTTTCAAATCAAAATAACCCCAAATTATGTCTATGAGATCAACTTCAATTTCTTAACAAAAACATTCCTTGTATAATTTTACTACGCACTATGACATTTATAATTCCAAATACAACTATAAAATAAAATCCGGTACACTACCGGCGACAAATAGATTATTTTAATAAATCAAACAAAAATTTAATAACATATTTTTTTAAAAAAAAACTCTCTTTTAGTTTAAATTATAGGTTCTGCTGAAAATTTTCAAAATAATTAATATGTAGTTTACAGAGAAGATACAATTTGAAGTTTAAAAATCTTATATGAAGCGATTATAAAAAATTAACAAATTTCAAATTGTATCTCCTCTGTAAATTACATACTAGGAAAATGCATAGCAGTGCCCGGAGCATATCATATGATTACACAAACGCGTGAATATGCATATTTTACTACACTAAATTAATAAATTTGAACACGCGTGCGGACAGACAAAAAATTTCCAAATTACGTGTCTATATATAATCTTCATAATGTTTATGCGACTTAGTCAAATACAAGAAAGTTCGGGAAATTTAGGAAGAGATGCATCAAAAAAGTCACTATTTTTGGTCGAAATGCATCAAAAACGTAATTTTTGTATCACTTGCAGTATAACTAAGGGTCCCTCCGCTACGCTCCGGGCAATTAGTTAGCTTAAAAAAATTTTGCTCGATTACTCAACATAACCTATATTAAAATAAAGAATTTTTTTATTAAATATAAGAATTTTTAATAATATTAATTTTTTTTTAAAAAATTAATACGTAATGTATTTACTTTATCCAGCATTCTCAATTTATTTGGAGGGTTGTATTACAAATAAAATTTGGACTGAGATTTTAGATTCAAAAACTTGGGATCTAGGGTGGGATTTGGGATCTGGGACTTTGGATTTGGCCAGAGTTTGGTATTACGACAATGGGGTTTGGGTGGGATTTTAAAGATTTGTAGTTTGGGCGGCATGTATAATTATAATTTTAAAGTGTTTTTTTATTCCATTAGCTATCATTAAGTCTGTTACATTGATCCTAAGCCTAAATAATATAGCGTTTTTACTTATACATACTACTTAATGACAAATGCGTTGGTTGACATAGTTAACTCCAATAACTATAGAAATATTTCTAAAGACATATCGATTTTTACTTTTTAATATTTAAACGTTTTTTGATTAAAAGACAAATTTCTTGATTAAGAAAAAAATTTTTTGATTAAGATATATATATTATGCAATCTTTTTTTTTTTTTGCTCGTTCTACCCGCCCACAAAGTTTTTTCATAACTATTCTACGTTATTTGATAAATATAAGCGATGTTGCGGATTCTTGATCAACACTGGTGGCAGCGTTCAGAGCTTCGATATTAAGTATTCTCATTAGCGTTTTCGAATACGACAAAAGGTATGCCGCGGCCATAATTTAAGAAATTACGTTTTCCCAATAAGAAGGTGGTATGCTGTTCCTTTTCTTCATTATTGGCAGCTTCTGCGGCATTTAGAGCATGGACATCAAGTTGATTAACATTAGCAGCTTCGGCAGACGCAGTATGCTTATCAGGATTTTGATATAAGATTATACGTTTTTCTACACTATTGGCAGCTTCTGCGGCATTTAGAGCATGGACATCAAATTGATTAACATTAGCAGCTTCGGAGGACGCAGTATACCTATCAGGATCTTGATATAAGATCATACGTTTTCCTAATAAGAAGGTGTCATGCTGTTCCCTTTCTGCACTATTGGCAGCTTCTGCGGCATTTAGAGCATGGACATCAAATTGATTAACATGAGCAGCTTCGGCGGACGCAATATTCTCATCAGCATTTTCAAGTACGATAAAAGGATTACGTTTGCCGAATAAGAAAGTAGTGTGTTTTTCATTATTAACACTGGCAGCGTTTTCTGCGGAGTTCAGAGCTTCCAAATCGAATTGGTTAATATGAGCGGCTTCAGAGGATGCAATATTCTTAACAGCGTTTTCAAGTACGAGAAAAGGTATGTTGCCACGATAATTTAAGAAATTACGTTTGCCGAGCAAGAAGGTGGTGTGTTGTTCTTTGTCAACTGCGGTAGCGGCTTCGGCAGCGTTAAAGGCGGAGATGTCTAATATGTTAACATTAGCAGCTTCGGAGCTCGCGACATTCTTATTGGCATTTTCAAATACGACGGAAGGGTGATTAGCACTTAAAAAGGTACGCCCTCGTAAGGATGACGCAGTAACACATGAAATAACCGAAAGAAGATATGTGATAATGGAAATTGAATGTTTGAAAGTGGGTTTTGTCATTTTTCAATAGTATGTAGGGGAATTTTTTTTTTTTTAAAACCTTCACGAATGAGGCTAGGAATGCCAAGTTCTAGTTTCTTAAATATCTAAAAGGTTTTGAATGCATCTTATTCTTGATCATTCGTAAATTATCATCAATCAATAACACCAATAACTATGTTCGTTTTTATAATCAAAAAATGCATCAATGCATACGCGCATGACTTTAAGCAAAATTCATCAGGCGCGACGCCAAGCAATAATGATTACTGATTTTTAATGCAAATTCAGGTTCAAATACTGTAGCTTTATAGGTATACAAAAAATGCATAATGATGTTTTTTTAAAAAAAGAGAAAGAGTACATCACTATTTGCATCAGTTTGTATTCAAATCCGCTATCTTACTATCAACATGGCTTTACGACTAAAGTTCAAGGTCCATAACATGAAAATAACATGAATTCTTTATACTATAATGGAGACTCGAATAATTTTATCAAACAGAATAGCGGGATCAGCTCAAAAAGAAATTGTCTGCAAATTTTACTTTATGCAGAAACCATTAATTACATTACAAATACCGGTATTAAGAACGTGATCTCGCAGACATAGTTATATGAGGCGGAAAATCTATGGACAGTTCTTAGGGACAGTATGGACAGTAAAATTCACATGATACTACTAAAAACCAATAACCC